GAACACCCACACTGTCACACAGTGCATTGCCAGTGAACACCCACACTGTCACACAGTGTGTCGCCAGTGAACACCCACACTGCCACACAGTGCGTCGCCAGTGAACACCCACACTGTCACACAGTGTGTCGCCAGTGAACACCCACACTGTCACACAGTGCGTTGCCAGTGAACACCCACACTGTCACACAGTGTGTCGCCAGTGAACACCCACACTCACACAGTCCTGGAGTACATTTAATCCCTGCACACCACACTGTCGGAGGGTCAGTGCTGAGAGAGCAGGCACTGTCGGAGGGTCAGTGCTCAGGGAGCGGGCACTGTCGGAGGGTCAGCGCTGAGGGAGCAGGCACTGTCGGAGGGTCAGTGCCGAGGGAGTGCCGTACTCTCAGATGTTCAGTGCATGAATACAAGTTGACACCAGCCAAAGTTTTGAAGTGGCAATTGTATCATAGTCCTCTCCTCTCCTGAGGGTATTCATTCTCTCTCTGGGGTCACATCCAAACAAGGCTTTTTGTCCCCTCGAGCATACGAGCATGACCAATCTGTTTGTGTTTCCATTCCCTCTCTCCTTTCTCTCTCACACTGACGACCTTTTCTCAGCCTCTCACAGGAAGCAAAGACCAGGTGTGTAGGGAAATCTTACATGTCCAGAGGCAATCCTTTCACTCACCAGAGTTGCTGTTTATTGTGCAGTCAGCTCAGTGTGCGCATGTGCGTGTGTGTCAGTGTCTGTGTGTGTGTGTGTGTCTGCGTGTGTGCATGTGTCTGTGTGTGTGCGTGTGTCTGTGTGTGTGCGTGTGCGTGTGTGTGTGTCAGTGTGTGCGTGATTGCGTGTGTGTCAGTGTCTGTGTGTGTGTGTGTCTGCGTGTGTGCATGTGTCTGTGTGTATGTGTGTGTCTGTGTGTGTGCGTGTCAGTGTGTGTGCGTGTGTCAGTGTGTGCGTGATTGCGTGTGTGTCAGTGTCTGTGTGCGTGTGTGTCTGCGTGTGTGCATGTGTCTGTGTGTGTGTGTGTCTGTGTGTGTGCGTGTGTCAGCGTGTGTGTGTGTGTGTGTGTCTGTGTGTGTGCGTGTGTGT